TATCTTAGACTGAATCTCAACTCTTAGGTGTTGCCTCCCAAAGGAGAAAAATACCCTGAACCTAAGTGTTCAGGGCTGATCACAACTCAGTGTCAAACCATCAGTTCAAGCCATAGTGGTTTAAGCAAACATTTTAGATCTTGCGACCAGACATCAGAGTGCATTAACACAGATATGGCTGGGGAACAGCTTAAGAAACTGGCTTTTGCCACAGCTAGAATATGTTGTCTTCACACTTGAGAAGTGTTTTAGAAAGCAGTTCCTTTTCAGGTCTTATTCACGCTTCCCAGCTGACTCACAGCTCCCAGTCCATGCATGAAGCTGGATACTACACCAATCTAGGATTAAACATACGAAGCATAGGATGTAGACGTAACTTTGACTGAATGAGTTCATAACTGCTATTGGTTGATTGCAGAATGAAATAAAGAGAAAACAAACAAATAAAAGAACTACTAGAAATACACATAAAATGCGCAAATATAAGTCTGAGGCTTCAGACAGGTTTACAGGTGCTTTTTGACATATAAATATTTTTATGATGCTCAAAATTAGAAATTATTGCAAAACAAATGAATATATGAAGTAAGAGGAATTAGAAAACATTCCAGGTGTAATTAAGTAGGGGGACTTTGCATCATGCATTGGGTAGTGCAAGATGCTGGTTTAACAGAGCATAATGTCAACTGGAACTATTTGGGTTACTGATCTGATGTGAATTTCTGATCTTTTATCTTATTGAAGCTGCTTGTTTCTATAAAATATTTATCTGTTCACAGGAGCAAGCACTAAAACATGTACCCATCTCCTAGCTGTGCTTTAGCTGTCAGTCTGCACAGGAATCTCGCTATCTCTGTCTGGCCTAGTGAGTGTCTGAACATTTAACGCAAAATGGAAAAGCTGCATAAGGACAGGCTTAGAAAGCCCCTTTCAGATTGTCTCTACGTATCTCAGGATCAAAATGCCTTTTTCTCTGCACTTCAGCTCACTATTATAACAACTACCAGGCCAGTGACACATGAAATGTAAGAATCTAAACAGATATGAGTCTGCTGAAAAGTTGGACAGACTGTGAAAAATTCCTCCTGTTATCTCACCATGGTGGCTTTTGCAGGAACTTGGATGCTATAACAGAAAAAGAGAAGTTTAAAACATGCCTTTTTTTTTTTTGAAAACTTACTAACTTTTCCTGTGGTTTATCACAAGACTAAAATTAGCTTCCCCAGATGCATTCAGTCTTTTGAATCACACAAGCACTGATTCTTGTGAGTAGATAACTTAAATTGTTCAAACTTAAGAGCAGAAATGAATGTAATCTGTGCATTGCCATGAATGGGAAACACTATTGTCCATAGCCTGAAAAGAGGAGGGGAGATTGGACAATACCTGGTAGTTCCTATGGTTCCCCTTGCCAGGCCTCTAGTGCTAAGGAAGTCAGCCAATTGAAATACAAAGACAAGTGAGTTCTCTTTGCAAATAAGCATGGGAATATAGAAAAAACCCTCCACACTAATTTTCCATGAGTGTTGCAAGAGCTACTTAAATGAAAGGTCAACTTAAAAGCCAAAAACCATTTGGTATTTGTCTTCCTCAGTAAAGAGAAGGACCAGGTATTTTAAAATTTGATGTTTACATAATGCTGTCTCTTATACAAAGGATGTTAGGGAAAACAAAGCTGTTAACCCATTGGACAGTTCACCTGCTAATGCCTTTTGTCCCTGAAGTGCTTCACCATCTTTTGCATGTGTGTCCTTTTCCTGTTTAAAAAGCCCTAGTCATCCCAGCAAGGAAAAGACAAACAACCTTATATGGGAGTTAAGAACAAGGCTGTAGGAGAAATGAGAAGTATACACATGAATATTGGTAATTCTTTCGTGTGGATGTCTCGTGTTAAAATAAGCTCACAGAAAATTTGTGAGACTAAAGAATTGATTTAGCAAATCTCGGGTTAATTTATTGAGTCAAAATGTTGGCTACAGATGCAATAATCTTTAAAGTAGTGAAAGCAATATTCTTATTTCTCAATGTAAACATCTAGTGTTTCACCACTTGGGTATTTACTAAATGGGATAAGAAAGTTTGTACAATTTGCTAACATGTTTTCTAAACCCAGTACTCTGGTACAATGTGCCTATTCATGCATGATGTTCTACATGGCATTTTGTCCTTGGTGGTTCGAGTGTGCTTTATACCTTACTACATGCCAGAGAGCTTCTAGCATCGCCAAAAGTCATTGGAAGACACTTGAGCTTCCCCTCATACCTGTGGTGCCAACTCTTCAGACCTGTGTAGCTTTTGTTACTCTCTTGAAGTTGTGGAGGATGAGTTTTGAAGTGTCCCAGGACTCCAGCTCAAAGATCTGTCATGTTTTTGGCTGAGGAATGCCAACTGTTGGCTGGCTACCTTCATCTCACTTAACTTCAGCCATGCTAAGGTAAAACTCATGTATTCATATCTAAAATAGGCACCAACTTCTAAAATTGATCCTATATCTGAAAGAAGAAATGAATCTACTTCCTGGGGGTTACCTTAGAGGGATGTCTTTCCTCCTTGCTGTCAGGATTTCAAAGTCTGCACGTGCTGTCCCACCTCTTAGAGAAGCCACTTAGCCTTCGTGACCAATCTCCCTTGGGAGGGAGGGTCAAGACAGCCTAATCTTTTGCTAGACTTGATGTCCTCCAGCAGTCTGTACATTAAAAACAAGATATAAACATCTAACCAAGTTATTTTGTGTAGCTTTTTACTGGCTCTTGACTGAAACATGATCCTTCAAGGTTATGTTAATTAACCCTTTTTTTGTGTGACACCAGGCTTGGAATGACTGATACTCCATTCCTTCCTCTCAGGATAACTGTAAGAAATTTCATTGAGAACATATGGAACAAATTAAAAATGGGATATCAGTATGCAAAGGCCAGCATGGTTGTCTATAATCATTAAATAATTCAGTACAGGAAATTGCACTGGCCTACATTTTCCGAGTTGCAAGACTGCAAGGAAAGATACAGATTTCAGGCAGTTCCACAAACACCCTGTCATAATACCTTGTCACTGCACAAAGACAGCTTCTTCTCCCTCTTCCACCTCTTTTGTTCATGTTTCAAGCTGCCAAGGTCTACTCCACCTTGGTGTCAGCTCTGGTGCTTGTTGCACCCTATGACCATCTGCACAGCTCTGCTCACTGGCTCAGAAGAAATTCTCCACTTTCTGGTATGCTTCTGCCTATTTAGTGAATTGAATTGCAGCAAGCAGGGGTCCTAAAACTGGGAAAACTAGCATAAGATGCATTGCAGATTGTGCTGCCAGACCCTGGAAGAACAGTGTATCTCCTTTAGCGGCAGTGAATGGCTGAAATTAGCCAAACCCAGGTGATAGAGACAATGACTTACCCAGAAATGGTTTGCCATGTACATTCACAAGAAATTGTCTTTCAGTCATGTGATAAAGTGCTTGGTAAAAATTACTCTGTACATTCATTGTGCTAAAGATAAGGTCAGATGAGATGGTTGTTTCAATTCCCTTTTTGCTTCCAGTTCTGTGAATCTGTACTTTGTATATTTGTAATATGAGTGGAATTAGACGCTGTTTGCAAGTATTCAGATTAAATGCATGTCCTCCAAATTCACAGAAAGTAATCTCAAGGTGTACTGCTTACAGTCCTAAGGTGTTCTCTCTCCCTGGCCCATTCCACAAATGAAACAAAGGCAGATGGAATTTTTCCCCCTTTGTCATCCATGGATCTCTAGTTGTCTTTGAGACCCGCAAAGGTGCTCATTAAAAGGACTCCACTGGATTGAACCAAAGGTCCATCTAGTCCTGAATTGATCTCAGTGTCTATAAACAGATGCATAGGGAACAGCAGGGAAAGCATATATGAAATGTCATACAAGTAACATTTGTCTAGCCTTGTGAGGCAAATATTTTTAGAACAGAGAATTTCCTGAGCTGGAGGTGGCTGCTGTCTGCTTAGTAACCCCCTGTAGATTTGTCTTCCAAGTATTTTTTTGCCTTGATTCCAAGTCCATTCTTTGACATCCAGAGCCCCTTTTGGTAAAAAATACCGCAAGTCTACTATGGGCCGTGCAAAGAATCACCTTCTTCTTGTTGTCTGCAGTTTAGTTACTACCAGGTTCACCTGATTCCCTTTTAATTCCTCTTGTGGTTGTGAAATTATCGTTTTGGTCTTAATTCGATGACAGTATTGCAAGTACTTTAGCAGAAGCAATTTCCATGCACACAGAGTATGTGCAGGCAGAAATAAAGGCTATGAGTAGACAATCAAGGTATTGCATGTGTTTGTAAATGAAAACCCTGGTTGAACCACCACAGATGATGGTTCCTCTTGATTTTTTTTTTTTTTTTGGAAAAAGACTGGGTTTTTTTTACCCCATCAAAAATGTTGACGAACAGTGTTCATGATCTTGCAATTTACTTCCCATTGCCCGGACTAAATGTTCCTCTACCCTCAAGAATTCTGCATCCTCTGTCACCTGGAGACAAAGAGTAGAGGTGGGCAGAGGACCAGCGTCTGAAAATAACCCCTAGGTAGCAGATAAGCAGAAATGCAGACAGCAGGAGGGCAGTAGCAGTTTTTTAGGGTGAAACCCCAGACTACCAGCTCCTTTTCTGCGACCTGCTCCATGCTGCATCTCTAAGGGTCACTGTCAAGGCGCATCCCCGAGTACCTCGGCGGGTGGCAGCGGCATCCCCGCCCGCGTAGCCGGCTCGGCTTCTCCCGAGCGCTGCCCCTCCGTGCAGTCTGTGCTCCCGGCAGCCCCGTGCCAGAGGGAGGCCCGGGGACTTTGCACCCGCGGGAAAGGAACCCCGGGTGGGGAGCGCTGTGCCTCCAGCCGCCTCCTGCCTCCCCGGCCGGGCTGGAGGAGAGGAGCGGCGCGGCAGCAGCCGCCTGTCTCGCAGCCCCCAGCGGGGATCCGGCCCTTTCCCGCGGGGGCAGCGCCGACCCTGCCGTGTGACAGCCGGGGGGGGACGCTGCTGCCTCGGCGAGCCCGGCTGCGGCGGCGGCGGCTGCAGCCATGTGTTTCTCCGCCTGCCAGTGACACAATAACACGGGAAGCGGCAGGAGGGATCCGAGCCTGCCGAGGGGAAAGTGACCTGACCCGCTCAGGTGAGCCGAAGCGGCGGGGGGTGGCAGTCGCTGCCTCCCACCCCTGGACGAGCTCTGCGGCCGCCGGGGCCGGGCGGGAGGAGCCCCGGAGCTGCCGGCGGGGGCGGCGCGTCCTGGGGGCGGCGGGTGCCCGGTCCCCCCTCACCCGGCGGTGCTGTGCCCGCAGGCCGGCGGCGATGGAGGAGGGCATGAGCAGCATGCAGCAGAAAGCGGCGGAGCTGGAGCACATGGCCGAGGTCCTGCTCACCGGCGAGCAGCTCCGGTAAGCGGTGCCTTCCTCCCGCTTTGCCGGGGACGAGTACCCGGGGTTAGCAGCAGCCCCGCTGACGGCGAGGCTGGGGAGGGGGGATTGCGGGTCGGAGGGCGAGGGTCTGTCCCCGCGGGCTTTCCTTGCACCGGAGCACCTGCCCTGCTTCCATCGCGTCCCGGGGCTCCGGCCCCGCTTCCAGCAGCGAGCAGGACAAGGGGTCCGCAGCCAGTGCTGTGAGCCCAGGGAGGTAAAGCACCGCCCAGAGCGCTTCTGCCTTGGGCACCTTTGCTTCCCTGTGTGGAGCGGGAGGCGGCTGGGGAGAGGCTGCTGCGTCACTAAAGGCATCAAGCGATGCAGAAGGAGTGTGGCGTCTTTAAAGATTAAAACCCCCGAAGAAACCATAAGCGATAAAGTGTCTGAGCACCCCACAGGGAGCCCAGCCGAGCGTCAGGCACCGCTCCCGCACAGCCCCGGTGCGGACCGGCGCTGGCAGCGGCGCCGGGCGCTGACCTCGCAGAGCTGCGCCTTACTCCGAGGGCTTGTTTTTATTTTGGATCAGCTGGTCCCAGCAGATGGAAGGGGATCCCTACTGTCAGTGCCAGCAGTAATTAACAGTGCTTTGTGACTGGAGTTGTGTGCAGCACAGGAACCTTGAACAAAAATGCCTGACTCAGTTAATTTTTAACTTGTGTGATGTATTTAGTGTGCTGGCTGTACACATACACTAGAGAGGAGAAAAATAAATTTTAATGCTTTCAGTTTGGTGATGAAACATCTTGTGATTGAGGAAGAAATTTCCCATTATATTATGTTGTACAATTAACTAGAAGGAGATTGTAAAAATATTTTCCTAGTAGTTTTTGCTTGAATATTTTTTGCCTTTTTGATCTACTTTTTTAAAATCTTTTTGCTCAAATGCCTGACAAACACTGCAAAGTGATAGAAATGTTCCTTGATTTGGAAGGTGCCATCATTGCTGCTAGTACAGATACTGTTACTGTTGCGTTCACGAGATAAGGAGCATTGACAGCTTGTAACGCCCGTGGTTGGGAAGTAAATGTTGTTTTGATCCTCTGGCTCTGGTACACACCAGTATCTGCTCCAAGCTTGAGATTCGGCTTCAAATTAGCCTGAAGTGAAACCTAGGATGACAAGAGTGCACTGGCACAGGCTCTGCATGGTGGACTTGGTGCAAAGTTTTGCATCCAAGTGTCAAATGAGAATCCTGTGGTTCCTAGAAGTTGAAGGATTAAAGTTAATACAAAATTTTTATGGAGATCATATTAATCTTTCTGTATACCTCATAGTTAAATGTAAGAACAAAAACTTTGGAATCTTTCCCTAAGGAGAAGACTGAGGAAACATCAACAAATCTGGGTTCTAGAATCAGCTCATTAGTATTGCAATGAAGGATGATATTTGTAATTTTATTTATTAAGGTCATGAAACATGGTGCTTTTTTGGGGCAGGGTGATCTGCAGATACAGAATAATTATTTGCCATCCTGTGAGGTTACCTGTGGACATTCCTTTGCAAATCTGTAAGATGTGTCCTAAATATGCTGGGACTGTGGGTACATTATCAAGTCTGTGCATAATGTCTGGCTACTGCTGAATGGGAGGATCCACTCCTTTTCCTACTCCCCAGTAGTGTAGCCCCATCTCTTCCCTTGTGCCTGCTCATGTACTTCTTGCACTTCTTGAAAACAGATCCAATGTGGTGATCAGGTGGGTAGGTTAGTTTTCTGATCTGCTGACTTCCAGAACCCCCAGAAGATAGGTGGTGGGAATGTGAAGCCAGGACCAAGAACAAGAGGTGGTGGAGAAGAGGCAAAATCTCCCATTTGCGTATCAGTGACTTGTTGAGTGAGCTGGAACTGTATTGTAAAAACTGTCTTATCTTCCCCCAATTTTTTATTAAGTTTGTTTTGTTTCTCTGTTGGGACACTCTATGCAAAGAGTTAGTTTTCTTCAGTTCTCTAGGCAATAAAAGCCACAAAACAAGTGTTAGAAAACTGACCAGTAGACAAGTTTTAGCCAACCCCACTAAGAAGTTTTCCTTTTCCTGTCCAAGATAAGTGTATAATGAAAATGTGGCAGGTTTTCAGGATCAAAGACAGGCTATATCAGCAGCCTTTGGGGCAGGCAAACAGATGATAGAAAACCAGCACACACATGCACTCAAGGAAACATACTGTACTCTATTCTTAGTGATGCTTACAACTGCAAGATTAGCCCCCAGAGGGAGTGATGCAGCCAGACAGGTGCTTATGTGTGTATTTGGGTGAAAGTGCATGTGATCAAGTGTTGCATACTGCAAGATGGATACATAACTTCGGAGTAAAAGTGTAAAGTGAAACTGTGAGCATAGTGTTACACAAACCCAACCAAATGTAGGTATTTAAAGCACACTTGTACTAGACCAAACAGCACGTGTATCTAAATACTTGCCAGAGCTGCTTAATTTAAATTCCTTACAAAGTTCCTACTGCCGATCTCGCCCCAGCCTCATGCATTGCCTCATAGCTCTCGTTCCTGTGGCCTCTTGCACATCTGTCCCTCTCTGGCAAGGACTTGATGTAGTGAGGGCTAAAGCTGTTTGAGACACAGCTTGGCAAGCCTGGCTTTGCACACTGGCAATGCCGGTGGTGGGGATGGAAGCCCCGTCCCCCTTTCCCCTCCCTAGGCAAGTGCACACTGGTTAGGGGAGGGAAAGGAAGAGGCCAAAGAGGTTTTTTCTTTCTACTTGTTCCTGTCCCTTGGTTTCTTGTGATGTGTGTTTCACCTCTGCGAGCTCAGGAGCTCTGCCCAGAGGTGGGCTATGTCAGCTGGCACCCAGGAAGCTGGCTGCTGTCATAGGCTATGAGGTAAATACTGGTCCATGGGTGGTATATTTTAGCTAACATGTTAAAGTTTTACATCCAATAGTGTCCTTTGCCTCTATACACAGCAGCTGTCTGAGCAAATGTATAACTCTACCTTTGGTTAATAGAAACATTTTTTTAAAGTGAGGACTTCTGAAGTTTGGGTCCCAGCAAGCCTTTGAATTTTGAGTGGTACATATCAGAACAGATCCTTTGGCAGTTTCTGCTGCCATGGAGAAAGTAGGAAGAGCAAGGCAAGAGCTGGGGTGGGCATGATCAGGCTGTGGGCTTTGCAGGCACTGATGACCCTGCAAGGACAAACTGCAGGGGCTCTGGCTGCCTAAGAGCTCCAACCATCCAAAAACCCAGCTCTTCCTCTGTTCTGCTGAAGATTCAGAGACGCTGTAGCTGCTCAGTGGTGCACTCTCTTTTGAGGAAGAGATGGAAGTAATGAGTATGGAACTGTCCCCTGAAGAAACTGCAAGCAGTGCTTGAGAGGATCATGGGGCTTTCAGCCTCCTTGGAACAGGGAGAGCCCTTTGAAGCCTCCATCCTGCTACATCCCTGCCTGCAAATCCCTGCCTGGTACAACCCTGGTAAATGAATGTCCCTGGGCTTCCTTGGGCTTGCTGGGAGTGCCTGAAGAAAGGTGTCACATCCTTAGTGCTTTGGATAGTCATTGTTAGAAGCGTAATAACGAGAACATAAAACGACACTACTGAAGTTGATAAGAATTTTATCAGAAGCAGAGCAATTCCAAGCTCATTTCCCTCCTCATTGAAGGCAACAGGTTGTGCCCATTTCAGCACTGTTTGGCAGAAGGATTAAAGTATTATCTCTCGCTGGGTTGGAGTATTAACTTGATTAGAGCTGATCTTGCCCTCTGGCAACCAAAAGCAGTTTCAGTGGGCATGTTTTGATATACATGCTGGCTGCCTGTCTTACAAGTTAGGGGTGTCTGAAATCTTCCTTATCTGCTAATTGTTTCTTGATGCCAGCTTGTCACCAAAGTCTTGTATATCTCCCAAGAGATACATTTCTTGCAGAAAATGTGCCTGGTAATTCAGGGGTCTTCAGCCTTCAGTTGACCAAACAGCAATATTGAAAGAATGACTTATTTTTTTTCCTTTTTTTTTTTTTTAAATCAGAAATTGCCACTGTAAATATAGTGCAGTTCTACAGTATGTGTAACTTGAATGACACTTAATGTCTCTGCAGACTCTTTATCGCCAGCTTTCACAAGAAGCAACACCTTTCCCAATTCACACGTCTGTTAAATAGTTGAGTAAATAATTATGAGACTTGTTAGATGAGCCAATGATTTTGGTAGAATAGTTCTTATAATTCAGCATGGTCTTTCTTTCTGCTTGAGGTAATATGAAGCATGTTTCTTAGAGATTTTTCATACTTTCAAAAGATAGAAAAGTCAAGATATGATTCAACAGAAATTTGTTTGCCTTTTTATCAGAGTTTGTTTTATGAGTTTTGTCTTACAAAAGATGTTTTACCTGGTAAACAGCTACAAATTTTGAAGCTGTAAGACCAAACCAGTTTTCACTAGAACATTATCACTTTAAGAACACAAAATGGAGTGCATAACTTTCAGAGTCATGGATCTACAGATCCGTAACTTTTTTTTTACTCTGAGCAATAGATAATCAACTTTTTTTCATGATGGTAGGATTGAAAGTGTATTGGCACTCTAAGGTTCAAAGAGCCCAGGGCACATAATAGTAACAGTTTCTAGAGTAACGATGTCAAAAGGCCCTTAGTGTTAATGTATTGCTATGATATAGAATTATATAAACTGTAGAGTTACATAATTTATTAAATACTATCACTGTGTTTGAAAGTGTGTTAACACTCTTGTGTAAGCTTAGACTCTAAAAGAAACATAAGGATTTGAGATATACAACTGTCTAGAGGGCACTTCTCATCAGTTCCTGACAGATCTTCAGATATTAAACAAATGTTTATGACATTTGAATAGACAGAATTCATTAGGATGAGATTTTGTAATCTGCCTGAGCCAACTCAATATTGTACTTCTACCTAAGGGGATGATATGTTTTTGTACCCCATGCATCTTTTTCTTCCAACCTCCTTAGTTCTTCACCAGTAATTCCATTTCCCTTAGCCAAGAGATACT